CCATGAATCGCAGCATGCCAGGCCTCCCTGTCCATCACCAACTCCCAGAGTTTATTCAAACTCATGCCCATCGAGTCGGTGATGCCATCCAGCCATCTCATCCTCTGTCGTCCCCTTCTCCTCCTGCCCCCAATCCCTCCCAGCATCAGGGTCTTTCCCAATGAGTCAACTCTTCGCATGAGGTGGCCAAAGTATTGGAATTTCAGCTTCAGCATCAGTCCTTCCAGTGAACACCCAGGACTGATCTCCTTTAGGAGGACTGGTTGGATCTCCTTGCATACAACATAACAATAAGCATGTTATGTATACAACATAACATCAGGGTATGAGAAGGGCTAAGCAGAGCTACATATCTGGGCGAGGGGACTGAGTGTGATAAATGTTGTGGAAGGCTTCTTTGAGCAATTGATGTTTCAGCAAAGATCTAAGTGAAGTGAACAAACCACCCAAACATGCTGGGGAAGAGCTGCTCAGGCAGAGGAACAGCAACTGCAGAGATTCTGTGATGCGATTGTGTGGGTGTCAGGGGCAGCCAGTTCACACGCCTTCCTCATTCCAAGTCCTGCCCTCCTTCTAAGAGATTTCACCAAGTAGTGCTCCTCCCATTACACTGCATGCCTGACACCCAGACCTCTGGGTTGAATAACTACCTCCATTCTGCTTTGCTTTAGCAACTCACTACCCTGGAACTTCGCTTTATGTCTGAAATCCTAAACTCTAATATGCCATTTGACCTGCCTCCCAGCTGTTAGCTCTCACATCCCCTTTCTCTCACTCCCCCACTTTCTTCTCCCTGAAGACTCCTAANCCTCCATTCTGCTTTGCTTTAGCAACTCACTACCCTGGAACTTCGCTTTATGTCTGAAATCCTAAACTCTAATATGCCATTTGACCTGCCTCCCAGCTGTTAGCTCTCACATCCCCTTTCTCTCACTCCCCCACTTTCTTCTCCCTGAAGACTCCTAATTCCTAATTCACGTGGCCAAAAAGTTCATTCGGATTTTTTCTATAAGCTGGAACAAAAACTCAAACAAATTTCTTGGCCACCCCAATAGTAACCTTCTCCATGGCTGTTTTAAGGACTATGAGCTAATGCACACACAGGAAAGTAACAAGCCATAGAGTAAGCATTTGATAAATATCATGATCAATTTTCATGTGATTACCATAATTCTCTCTGCTCTTCCTGTGATGATTGGAACCTCTGTGACTTACGTGCTCCTTCTTTGAAACTTCCCTGGAAATTTTAGTCTCTGGACCAACATAATCATCTACTATCTCTGTTTTTATTCTTGAGCAGCTGAGGCCTCCTGACAAAAAACTACTTGACCACAAAGACTGATGTTGCTATGTAGACTGAGAGCTTCTGGATTCTGCTTGGTCTACCACCCAGCTTGAGAAGCCCTTTACATGAATCTGGTTGGTTATCTCATTCATTTCCCCATTAGCTATTCTGAACCCTCATCATTCTTTTCAGCTCCCCAAGGTGCTGACCCTTTCACCCTTGCTTGACAGTTCTCACACGATCTTCCTAAGCACAGCTAAAATGTAATTATATTCTCACATCCTTCCCTTCACACTCCTAGGCAAAGGTCTTCTACTTTCTGCCTTAGACGAATTACCTACCTATGCTCTGGATAACTTCCCTTCTCATCCCTTTGGAAACTCGTAACTACCAATTATCTCTTTTTTCTCTCACTTATTTTGGGCCCCAAACATGCTCAAATCTCTCCAATCTTAACAAAACAAAATAACACCCATCTGAACCTGGAATCCCTTCTATCTCCTTTCATCTACAGTTAAATGTCTTCTTCTTCTTCTTTTTTTAATCTATTTTTTACTTTTTCGCTGCACTGCATGACATGTGGGATCTCAGGCCCCCAACCAGGACTGAACCCATGCCCTCTGCAATACAAGTGTAGATTCTTAACCACTGGACTGACAGGGAAGTAGTGAAGTGAAAGTCGCTCAGTCGTGTCTGACTCTTTGCAACCCCATGGACTATACAAGTCTCCAGGCCAGAATCCTGGAGTGGGTTGCCGTTCCCTTCTCCAGGAGATCTTCCCAACCCAGGGATCAAACCCAGCTCTGCTGCATTTCAGGCAGATTCTTTACAAAGCTGAGCAACAACAATAAAAAAGGCTGAGCCACAAGGGAAGCCCAGTCCCTTCAGCTAAATAAATCCCTTGATGTTGCCAAATGTCCCCTGGGGCAAAACTGATCTTGATTGAGAACCACTGATTAGAAGATAAGACAGTATAAACTCGAGCACAAAGTATGTAACTAAATGCTGTAGAAGTTCTCAAAAGATGAGCCCACAACGGCCTCCTGTCCTTTTCATCTATTTACTGCATTTGTCCGGCCAATCGGTCTTCCAAAACCCACTTTCTTGGCAGACAACAAGCATAGACAACAAGCATAGCTCGCCTGTACTTCCCTACCCTTTCTTGCCTCACCCCTCAGCTCTCCGCAATCTGACTTCTGTCCCCTAATTCCCCGAAACTTCTCTGCCATGACTTTCTTCCTACTTGCCGAACCCCGTGGACACTTTCTTTCTTGCCTCTGTTGCTTGAACTCTCCATAGCCTTTTTATGCTACTGACCATGACTTTTGCCTTGAAACTCTTGCTTTGGTTTCCAAAATGCCAGCATTTTGGTTCTCCTCTTACTTCTCCTATATCATTTTCATCACCTCCTTCACTAGCATCCTTGCCCTTTAAATCTCAGTATTCCTCAGACAGAATTCCCACCTCAGTCCCCTTCTTTTCACTGCTCTTTCCTTAGTGTTGTCCTTTATTCCAATGACTTTAACCATCGCCACTGTTTTGGTCACTCCTTTGTTCTGTTCTTCAGCACAGACCCCAATCCTAGGCTCTGCGAGGTATGGCCTGCAGCCTCTGGGCACTTCCTCCTGCATCCCAGCGGCAAAACACTTCAGCAAGTCTGTTCTTATCTTTCTGCAGTTCTTTCTCAGGTCTAACTGGCTACAAGGTCCTTGAATATGTCAAGCCTTTCAATTATTTCTTTCAATGATCTGAACATAGCACAGTGCCTGGCACTTAGTAACTGGTTTATGCTGTCTTTTGAGTAACTAATGGATGGGCTTGTTCTCTTTCCACCACTAGGATGAGTAGGATTTGCCTACTCATGTTTAAAATAGAACTCTCTTTGTAATCCCCAAACTTCTATGCTTCAAGTCTTCTCAGTTTAAAAAAATCATTATCTACTCAACCGTTCACCCTGATAACTCAGAATCATCAGGATCTTCCCTTTTCCTCATCTTCCATATCTGATCCATAAGGAAGTTAAGCAAGCTCTGCTTCAAGCCACGTCCTAAATTCTGCTCTCTATCACCGTATCTAGCACTACCACCTGGGATGCTGTCCAAGCCACCATCACTCCTTACCTGTTCAATGACCAAACCTTTTGTTTGTTCTGATTTTGCTACTGTCCCCGCTGCACTTCATAAAGATCTCTCCAAAACATCCATCAGGTTATCTCACTCCCCTCCATAAAATGCCCCACAACTTTACTACACTTGGAATATAATCTAAAAGTTTACCAGGGCACTACATCATTACTTGGCCCCTTCCAACCTCTCCTACCCCACCTCCAAAACCAAATCTGATTCCTATCCCCAACCCCCTTATATGCTCCAGCATGAGCCTTTTTTTTTTTCTTTTGCTATTGCTCCTATCCACCAAGGTTATTACTCTGGCTCAGGTTTTCACACTGGCTGCTCCTTCTGCCTGCAATGTTCTTGTTGCTCCTCCTCAATCTTTAAATATCCGCTCAGAGGTCTCTTCCTTAGAGTCACCCTATGAAAATAAACCCCCTACAGTCATTCTCTAACTCCCATTCTGCTTTATTTCCCTCAAAGTATGACTGCCAACTAAATTTATTTTTTAAAAAAATAATCTTCTGTACTGCTGTTTGCCTTTCCCATCTGCTGCTGCATCTCTGTTCTATAGTAGAATAACTGGTCTATGATAACCGTTCAGCAAATATTTGTTGGCATAATGTGATCCCTATGCCCAAAGGCATATCTTTATTGATTGCTAATGGTTATTAGGTCTGTGAGATAGTATTAACACTTCACTAAGAGAAGACAACTTTCTTAAAGGAGAACTAGCACCTAACTCTAAAATCTGTGTACCTATTGAGTGAGTGAGTGAGGGAAGTCGCTCAGTCGTGTCCGACTCTTTGCGACTCCATGGACTGTAGCCTACCAGGCTCCTCCATCCATGGGATTCTCCAGGCAAGAATACTAGAGTGGGTTGCCATTTCCTTCTCCAGGAGATCTTCCCAACCCAGGGATCGAACCCGGGTCTCCCGCATTGCAGGCAGACACTTTACCATCTGAGCCCCCAGGGAAGATTTAGCTACAGACAAACACCTCCTCCATGACTAAACATAAACACCCTTGCTGTTTTTGATGTTAATTTCATCCTCTCTTTCCTATGGCAAGTTTTGATGACTACAGAAATAGTCTTGAATAAAGACTTCTTTGTCATTTTTAACAAGTGTCTGGTCACAACTTCTCTTTAACACCAGAGACCAAATATTTACCTACTTGTCCTACATAAATTCATCTAATTGAATTTTCATTGTTCCCTACAGAACCTTCAATTTTTTTCTTTTGCAGTAGGAAGAGTCAAAGAGAGGCATTTCCTGTCCTCATGACTGAAGACTATGGTTTCTCTAGCATATACGGGAAAAGTCAGGAAGAATACAGGCTCATGATTTTTTTTTATCACCTTTACAGAAGCTATTACTTATTCATTTTGTCACATTGATTTTCAATTGTTCTTGTGGTGACATTTTAATGAATAATACAAAAGCAATGCACAATTCAAAATGACACCCCAAACCTCCTAAACAAAAACACATTCGGTATATAAAAAATGATCATTCCTCCCACATTCTCTGCCATATAGTCCACCTAATTCACATGCAGTCCACTTCCAACTATGCAGCTGACTTGAGATTATATGATCATACCTGCAACATCAAACTCAATTTCCAGCGTGACCTTGCTTGTGATTGAAGAGTCTCGGAGGAGCTGATTGGCTTCCTCAAACGTGCTGTCTTCAGTTGGAATTCCATTAATGGCCAGTACTCTGTCTCCAATCTGAAGCACCCCACATCTAAATTTAGAACCAGACATTACAGGTTGTAGACAGAGTAAATGATTTTCAAGTTGACATTGCCAAGATCCTTTCAATATAGCATTTGTTCTTTTTATTCGATGCTGTGGGACATCCTATTAGGTCAACTGCAATGTCCTACATTCTTTTTTTCTACGTAAAAACATAGTTGATTTACTATACTGTGTTACTTTCAGGTATATAGCAAAGTGATTCAGTTATATGCAAGTCCTACATTCTTGTATTTCATGGCTACCAATGTGAACAAAGGAAAACATCCCAGGGAAGTAATGAATAATTTAGCACCATGATATTATTATAATCTGATGTGAACCAATATACAGTAATGATGAATGTGCATTCCCCCATGGCAGAGAAATTATCGTGAAGTTTTGACTTCAGAGATTTTGTTTTTTGTAATGGATTTTTCTCCTTTTTAATTAATTTAGCCTCTAGTCCCCGATGGACAAAAATCTGCTAAAGGCCCCACCCAGGCTCGCTATTTTTCTCAAACCTGATCAAGAACGTAAAATTTTATTGTCAGAACAGAGAGTGCATCCCGTCTTGCATTTCCTGCATTGAGCACTGTTCCATAATTTATTAGTCAAAGATAGCCAGCAAGAAATGCAAGGCAGAAAACGATGCCGTGAAAGAAAGGATCTCACCTCTCGGCTGGGCTGTCAGCTTCAATATAGGAGATCAGAGGTGGAGAGGAGAGGGTCTCTGTGGCAAACACACTGCCCTGCAGTTGAATCCCAAATCCTGTGACAGGATCCGCGGTCAGCACAACCTCTGTGGTTTCTGTGTGAACAACCTGCCCAGCCAAGCCCACGGTGCTGGAGGCTAACGACACTAGAGGAAGAAACACACAGCAGAAATGACTTTAAACTGGAACAGGCACCAGGAACGCCAGCGTTTCTGAAACAGATCATGTCTCTGAAAAAAAAAAAAAAAGCTCACTGTTAATGGTGGGACATGAGGTTTTGGTCTTTAAGCAAAAGTTTAACTAGAGCTGAATGAGGTAAATGAATCTCCCAGTATCTGTCACATCTAAATCATAGCATCAGTGCAGCCCCCTCCTCACACGGACTCCTAATATCAAGGACAGCTGTGGCAACTATAGGAAGAGCCTGGTCTTGGGGTCAGGGTACCTGGGATCTAGTCCTGGCTCAATCACTAAGAAACCAGCTGGGTGACCTTGGTACTAAGTCATTAATCTCCTTCCTACCTAGGAGAAAGGGGGTTGGGCTAACTGATCTAACTCCCCCTCCCCCCCCACTTTAGACATTTGTACCTAAGATTCTAGCTTTTTACAAAAAACTTGACCTTCAGCTTTGAAGAAACAATTGATCTAAGTCTGGCTCCTGAGGTGGTAAGGATGTACTGGTCGGTCATCAATGTTCATCTATCATTGGCTTGGCATGATGGAGTCATTTAAATGACTTTTCTACATTTCCACTTTTCTAATACATGGTCCTATTTCAGCATTGATCAGTTTTTTATATTCCTTCTTGTCTCTTCACTAGACTCTTGAGTTCCTTAAAGATCAAAACCAGATCTTTTCCCCTCTGAAATTCCAGTGCCTGGAATTTCCATGGCTAAAGTCATGTGGGATGAATCCAGTTCTATAACATCACTATTTCCCTTTTTGGAACCAGCCCTTGGTCTGCTGAGTTAAGGAATGAGATGCTGGTCCTTCAGGACCCAAATTTTTCTATCATGGATCATTCCAGCATTCAGGCTGACACTGCAGAGGATGGTGAGATGTATCCTTTTCCCATGAGGAGTAAGGAAAATCTATTTCTTCTTAAGAGGCACTGTCACTGTTCTTTCCCAGCAGGATTAATGTCACTGAGGCTAAAGTAGCCTGCATTAGGGGGTGAAAGTAGCTTCCAACCCTCATCTTTCTTACTGTCCCAAGATCTAACACATAAACTATCAAATGTCAATTCAGATCGTGTTCTCTAGTGTGGTTTTGTTAATATCAACTGTACTCTGAGTACTCTCCAGATCACATATTTTGTTATTGGTGGCACAAAACCAGTAGAAGATACCATTACATGTCAGTAAAAATCTGGAGTGCTGCATTTCTTCCCAGTCAGTACTCATAGCAGGTGGGAATATAATATTAGAATATCACCCTTGGGCAGATGACCGGCACTCTGTCTTCTGAGTGAAGATTTTTGGACTTCAACAGGTATACATTACTTTATATGGGACTTTCTATAGGTCCACATTAATATTTTTTCCATTTACCATCCCAATTTGGCATAGATTTTTGGACTACTCAATTGGAGTTAAAAGTCATTTTTGAATTGTTAAGTCAACTGATTACCATTTCCACTAAGAAAGAATCAAGAAGGAATCGGTCAATTTAATAGTAATGGGGGGATTAGTTTAGATATAGCAAAGACTTTCTGAGGGAAAAGACACGCTATATTTTTCTGAAACAGAAGACAGTTGAGGAATTTCATTTTCCAAAAGGTTTTGAAAATAGAAATAAGTATTAATTCCTATGGGTTATCATTAAATCTATAACCTCTACCTGGAGGCAAGCTGAGATGATAGAAATTATGAGGACATTTAATTTAGAATTAAAAATGTATTAAACATTGGTTTTATAATTTTATGAAGAGTACAGGCTTATATTAAATAACCTAGGATTTTCCCATTAACTCTCAAAGTCCTCCGGAGAAAGCACTGGCAACCCACTCCAGTGTTCTTGCCTGGAGAATCCCAGGGACGGGGGAGCCTGGTGGGCTGCCATCTATGGGGTCGCAGAGTCGGACACGACTGAAGCGACTTAGCAGCAGCAGCTGAAAGTCCGCTGAGGTACTAGGATCTGTTCTTTGAAATAGTACACTTTCATTGGAAATTGCATGCACTGATTACTCACACATATTAAAGTCTTGAAAATGACCAACAGAGATAAAGAAGATAAACTACAGATTTAAAGATGATAGGCCAAAAAAACCCAACAACAACAACTAATATTACTTGGAGGAGAAAAAGATGAGTTTGATTATCCTGCTTCACTAATGTGGTCAAAAAGCAGGAGAAAATAAAAGTTATCTCTGAGTCATGCCGACATGCTGTGTTTGAACACCGCTAACTGGTGTGTGCCAAGGTTGTGTTCAGGATTTACATCTGCTCTGTCCTCTTCTCCCTCCTTTCTGGAGGCTTCTGCAGGAATTCACCCTGTGTTTTTGTCAATCCTTGTTCTTCCTACTGTAAGGAAGGGCCAAAGTCATGGGAGGCCAGAGATGATTTCTTAGCTCTGAAGTTTAAAATTCTGCCAAATGTTTCCTTAATTTAGACAGCTGTGAAATTTATTGTCAGATACAAAAAGCATTTGAAAAGTATATAGAGAAATGGAGCTCAAAGATTCTTTTTTTTTTAAAAGGGAAAGCACAAACACAGTCCCCCTACTATCACAAATTATGCAGTGGATTTTCCCTCATTTGGGGAAATTGCAGGGATCAGTGTATGTGGACTACAATGAATAAGCCTCACCCTGGGAAGACCACCTTCGTGATTATGGTATCTCCCCTGCCAGGTAATTATCAAAGATTTATTCATATACTGTGCTTACAATTATTGGACTCTGTAACTGAAGACCTATATCTCACTAAAGTGTTCCACACTAGAGTCCACACTGTATATCACATGATCCAGTTCAGGAGACAGTCGGAGTGGCCAACAGTTCCCTCTTCCAGATAGGGGTAGGGAAGCTCTGAAGATGACCTCTTCGAGAGCTCTGTGCTCGGTCATTTTAAAAGCTTACCATGAGCTGCCTTTGAATTCCGGTTGCTTTTCAGGGGCTGGTGGCAGGCACAAAAATTGTTAGGTTGTTTCATTCTCTTCCTTTCAGCTCTGTTCAGTGGCACCCTCCCTAGCAGTAAGGGATGACCACAGAAGAGGCAGAGATCATTCTGAGAACATGTTCTAAGGTCTCCCCTTCGCTGCAATTCAGGCCGACGGGAAACAGGAAAGCGTCTACACTGGCCCTGTGTACCGGAGCAGGAAGCTGGGGGGAATAGCCAGATCCACTGCTCAGTCATGCCCCGCCATCACAGGGGACGATGGGCTTCTGGGAGGGGCCTTGATCTTCTGTGGCAGAAAAAGGGGCAGCTCATGCTGTGGGGGAAAGGTCAGTGAGAATACGGAAGAGGTGACAAGTGGGTTCCCTCTGTGACATGGCTCTGCCATCCTCCCAGGGCTTTGTGACACTCCCGGAAGCCGATGCTGGGGGTACTTAACATTTTCCTTGTGACACAAACATGACTTTCCTCTTTTAATCCTTGTAACATGCTGTAACAGGCTTCCTGTATTTTCCTCCTTGGTCAATAACAGAGAATGTTTGAATATTTATGTGAGAAAATTTCATTCTTTTCTGGCCATGTCCTTCCTTTGTATTAGAAACATAAGAATTTTTTTTCTGTTTTGCTCTGGCTTCAACTGATCACCAATACAGCTAAGAGATTTTTATTATATTTGTTGTGACTTTACCATGATTCACCATCCATACAAATGGCCTGGTTGCTATAGGAACGTAAGTATTAGAAAAGGGTCAGTAAATGGTCGCACCAAATAAAGACATAAATAAAGTGGTGGAAATAAACCATAATATAGTGAGACTGGCAATAAAACTTTTATTATCAGTTATTTGGGAAAACCTTTACCTCTAACGTGACCATACCAAGTTCAAGCAAAAAATAAAAGAAAGACAGAGAAAGAGAAAGAAAACCAAAAGACTAAATCCTCAGTTTTCTTCCAATTTTGGAGAATTAGCATTAGTTGCTTAGGTTTTTCTGAAGTGGGAATAAAAGTTTATAGCTTTCTGAATCTTCTTGTTTGATTAAAATACAAAATGTATGATCTCCTGAGATACACATAAATTCTGGTAGATATATGGTCAGTGGTGCTCTAGTGGCTAATGTCTACAGCAAATGCTAAAAGCAGATTTCTAGAACCAGGTTTCTGCTTATACTTCTCTATTATATTGGAGAATAATATGCTGTTTTAAGAGAGAATTTATCACTAGGTCATGGGTATTGGTGACAGTGTGGCCTTGGCCTTGTTTCCTACGACAAAATTTAAGATGTACAAACATCAACCTGCAATAGCCAAACAGATTATCATTTATTTGTCATCACTAATGTCCTTAATCAAGCTAGCAGTCTTACCTAACACAAACAAATGTTTAGCCATTAAAGCAGAAGTGCAAACACGAACGCATTCGTTTTAATTGCTCTTCCCTGCTGAGGGCTGTTAGCCTGCTTTCTCTCAGTAAGCGATTCTGCACATGAAGCCATTTTATGTAAAAGTTTCATCTACAAATATCCACTACAAATCCTGATTCATTACATGGGAAGATTCAACTTATATATTATGCCTAAGTGGAAACATGGTGAAATATGCCTAAGTCTTGGAGCAGGGTTAATATTTCAAATTTAGGCATCATAATAGCAAACACACAAACTATTCAAAATAGCTAACAATTAAATAGTGCTTACTATTTACTATGTATTATTGCAGCATATATATATATCATATTATATATATTGCATATATATAATTATAATACTTACTTCATTGGGTAATTGTGAATATTATATGAGAATATATCATTATTCATATATACATATGAACATATCAAATATATACGAATATATAGTCTAGAACTTCCAGATGTTCAAGATGGTTTTGGAAAAGGCAGAGGAACCAGGGCTCAAATTCCCAACATCCGCTGGACCATCAAAAAGCAAGAGAGTTCCAGAAAAACATCTATTTCTTATTGACTATGTCAAAGCCTTTGACTGTGTGGATCAGAATAAACTGTGGAAAATTCTGAAAGATATGGGAATACCAGACCACCTGACCTGCCTCTTGAGAAACCTGTATGCAGGTCAGGAAGCAACAGTTAGAACTGGACATGGAACAACA